AGATTTTAACTGAAGTATAAGACAAAAAGGCAAAAGAATTTATAAAATATTTTCAAATATCAATTAATTAATTATAATATGAGATTTCTATGACTATAATTGTTTAATGAGAAGAAATAAAAGAAAAATGTTAAATTAAAAATATACATACATATAATTATATCTAAGATATCTATATAATAAAAATATATATAAAAAGTATTTTAATTAAAAATATATAACAAAAAAATTAATAAATTGATATATATCTGTATGATCAAGAATGTTAAAATTTTTACTTTGTTAAACAACATATATATATACATAAATATATATATATTATTTCTATTTATCGAACATACAAAATTCTGTTTCTTCATCATCTGAAACATTATATTCTGGATCTGCTTCCGGATCATCTTCTACTATAGGTTCTTGAGTTAGTGGTTGAGTGAATTCCTTTAAAAAATTCACCCAATCTTCATCTACTTCACAATCCCAATCACACATATTAATAGTTATAACATATTCTTAGCAAAATCACGTTTCACAAATTATATGTTAAACATTAATCAATATGCTTAGATTATATAAATATTAAAATTATTCCACAATAAATTATTATTATTAAAATGCTGCATTATATTATACATTATTATTTTTATACTGTGATTGAGTTTTCAATGATAGCAGCCATATTTATTGTATTTTAAGCCATAGCTTCAGCTTATATATTAATTAATACTAATCGATTCTCAATATTGTATTTTATATATTAGTCGAATCTTTTTTTATTTTCAAAATTACATGGTTTATTTAAAATTTTTTGAGTTTGAAATATTTAATTTAAAAGATATAAAAAAAAATAGTAACAAAAATTTACACAAATATTTCATAAGAAATGCTTTTTTTATTAAATAAAAAAGCAAAAATAATTCTTATTATATTATATTGATCATTTATTATTTATATTGTTTTATATTGTTTATTAGCTAAATATTTTTCGATGAGTCTAATCATCAGAAATAAATTCAATCAATGGAGATATTACGAATTCAACTATTGGTTGAATCGAAATCAATTTCAGAATCGAATATTATTGTGTAAAATATAATTGTGTAAATATAATTCATCGATACAATTTCTTTATATTTATTTATTCTTTATATAATAAATAATTTCATGAATAAATTAATATTTATGAAATTACTTCAAGAAAATAAAACTTTATTTTAAACCTAACGATAAAATTATAAATCAACTTTTGATTTTTCTATTTCTATTGATGTAAGTATTATTTAATATTTATTAATAGAGATCGAAAATACGAGATTACTAATTCAAATCGAATCATAAAAATCGGATAAATATGGATATTTAACTATTTATATTTACCTAAATATAGAAAGTAAATATAGAAAATGGTTTAATAATTCAATACTTTGAAATTGATTCTGATATTATCATATTTTAATTTTATTAAAATATTTTCAATCCGAATAAAAATAATAATTTATAACAAAATATGTGCATAATAATATAATAACATAATTTTTATATAAAATTTAAATAATAATAATAATTTCTATAAATTTATATAATAATTTATTTTTAAATTTATATATTTAAATTATAAAATTTGTAATGCTTTAAGTATTATATTTATATTTATTATATTATATTTAAGTATTCATAAAAATTTGAGATTTAGTTATACTATATAAACATATTTCTATTATTAAAATTAAATTAATATATTTAGAATGTAAATAATATTAATTTTTAAATTTGATCTTGATGTAAAGATTAATAAAATAAAAAAGATAAAATTTATCTTTAATAAATCTTTAACATAAATTATTATTTATAATGTTATTTTTAGAAAAGTAAAAATTAGTTTTTTCATGAAAAATTTTCCGTTATAGAAATTATCAAATAAAAATAATTATATATATATATATATTATATTATTATTAATTGCTATATAATTACTATATAATTGATATATAATTGCTATATAATTGCTATCTAATGTCTTGAAAGTTACTTTCCACAAACGATTTAAAATTTGAAATTTGCAGAATCATTGTTTATTTTATTATTACCCTCAAACCATATAAGGACGAGTTTTGACATTTAAAATAATCAGTATTACTTACATTGCCGTTTAGTTTCGAAAGAGTTAGAACGTAGAATCAAATTGTTTCTTTCTTCTTCAATATTTAAATCAAAAATGAAAATAAAAATTCTTCTGTTTTTCACTATTCTCGCATTAATAAATGTTAAAGCGCAAGATGATATTTCAAAATTTTTAACGGATAGACCATATGTACAAAAACAACTTCATTGTATTTTGGATCGGGGACATTGTGATGTAATTGGAAAGAAAATTAAAGGTAAGATTTAAAACATAAATTATTTATTAATTTTATTTATTAATTACTAAATTTTTTAATTTTATTATTTATTTATTAATTTTCTTTTTTTTTTATTTGTATGTAAATTTTTAACTTAAATATAAAATATATTCAAAATATTTGTCATAAAAATTTAGTGAAAATAACTGATTTAAATCATTTTGTTTATATCATGACAAATTTTAATATTTTTAATTTTTTAAATTTTTAAATAAATTCAAGCTAAAAATTATTTTATTAGTTCTTATTAATTCTTAAATCATGTGATATATTTTATCCAATTAAAAATTATTTATTATATATATATTAAATAAATAAATATTATATACAAATTAAATAAATAATATATATTTATTTACATAATTCAAGTTAATTAAATAAATATAAAAATGATTATTCCTACTTTATTTTATTTGTTTCTATATTGTGTACATCTATCAAATCAAATAAATCTAATATAATATTTGTTAAATCTGTTTATAATAAATTTTCAATATTAGAGTAAAAAAAAAAATAAAATGTTTTTCCTATATTTCATTATTATGTAAATACGATCATTAGTTTTGAATAATAAATTTAAAAATAACAAAATTATATTATTAAAAAATAAATAAGTGCTAATTTGTTAATAAAATAATATACTTCTTACATAATAATTGATTAATAAAGAATGAAATATTGAATAATATTTTGCTATAAATAATAATATAATAATAAATAATCTTATATTAAAAATCTATTAAACAAATAAAAACAAATGAAATAAAAATAAAATGATTTTGCCAAAATTCACTTTCAAATATTTTATTTTATTATTTCTTCAATAGCAATTACGCATTATTAATAAATAAATTTTGTTATGATTTATCGACAATATTTGCCAAACAATATATTAAGCAAAATCAACAATTTTTTTTCTTAACATGCAAATTTAGGTCGTAAACAGATTTAATAATTCGTTCATATATTATAAATACTGTTATGATTCTTGCAGAATTGTTGCCAGAAGTGTTGAACAATCATTGCAATCGATGCACGTCACGACAAGTTGGAATTGCAAATACATTAATACCTTTTATGCAACAAAATTATCCCTATGAATGGCAGTTGATTTTACGACGTTATAAAATAATGAAATATTATTAATATCAAAGATGTTAGTATGAAAATTAAAAAACTCAAGTTAATAACAATTGACGATGGAACAACTCATTGATAATATCATAAGATGTTCTTAAATTTTGAAATGACGTTAAATAAATTTTTCATAATATTAATAATTTTAATATTAAAAATTTTAAATATCGTTAATATCTATAATATTATTTGTAACTTTGTTTGTAAGAATTATCGAATATCACATATGGATAAAATATAAAATAAAATCATATCTATTAATATTGTATATATTTTTAACACTTTATATTTTAATATTGTTTAATTATTGTTATATATTAATATTGTTCAAATTCTTTATGCATATTAAATGATGATAGTAAAATATAATTATCTATTCAATTTAAACATATAATTGCGTAAAATAAAGTTAAAGAATAAGATAGAAAGCTTATATACATATAGATTCAAACGATAAAGCAAGTTGAAATCATAATATAGTTTGCATTTTAATTCGTACGATGATTTTAATATTGAAACAAATATAGATACAATATAAACAGAATATTTATAAATTATGGATCAAACAATAAAAAATTTTATAAAATAAAAATATAAAAAATATATATAATAAAATGCGACATATTTTAAATTAATGTTAAAGTTTAATAATAAAAATTTCCTATTTAAATGAATAAATTACTTTTATTTCTCAAGAAATTTATTTTTTTAAATTTTTAAAATATAAGATATAAAATTAATTGATTAATAAATTTAAATAATTTTATTACTAATATATAATATTTGTTATTCGATGATAATTATATAAATATTTGATATTTTTAAAAATTATTGTATTGAAAAAATTTATTTACTTTTTATTTTATTTATCGAATACATATTAATATAAGTTATAAGATTATTAAATATTATAATAATATATAATATAATATTA